GGATTACTGATACAAGATTGTCTTATACTCATTATCAAGGATTGGGCCTCCCATGGTAGAGGCTTTGAAGATTGCTGGATAGAGGAGATTAACACATGATTATCAAATTCGAAGATGATATCCTGAAAGCCTTTATCCTCAGCAAACCGGACGGCTTTAAGGAGAGTAGCTGCTTTTGCCGAAAGTGGGGCTGACGCCGAGTAACGCCAAGTCCTTCCAAAAGAGATTTCGCCATTCAAGTTACATCCAACCATGGCTAGAGCTGCTACCCCTGAATTTGGTGAGAATGAGGCATCAACATTAACGTTGATAATGTCGCATGGAGGCCTAGACCATGAAGATTTATACAGTTGTGCAGGTGGTTAGGGCATGGATGGGGATTCCAATAAGTCCTGGTGGTCCAGAGATTATTCCTTAAGCATGTGAGAAATACGAGTGAGAACCTGGCTAGGAGAAATTTCAGCCTATTCAAAATATTTCTCATTTCTGGCTTCATATATTCTAGCAAACAACAGCACAGTAATCCGATAAGGAAGGAAAGTGCATTTGTCTAGCTACCCGCTTGATATACCTCCACCATTCTACAAGATTACCCACCCCCAACTGCCATGGGTCAAGACCCAAGGCTGAACCAAACCAAATTGGTTCCACATGAGGGCAATAAAAGAGCAAATGCATTATGGATTCATCAGTTAAATGACAAAAGGGACACAACGCCTCTTGTACAATTCCCCTCCGCAACAAATTATCCATTGAAGGCAAAGAGTTAAGAAGAGCTCTCCATAAGAAAACTTGAACCTTATGAGGCACTTGCATTTTCCATATGTGTTTCCATTCAGCAGATGAAATGATCAAATTATCATGATTCCTATCAGTTTCATTAGCAGCATGAATCGCAAGGAGATAGGCACTTTTTATAGAAAAATTTCCATATCTATCATAATGCCAAATAAAGGAATCAGAGCACATTCTAATAGGAATTTTTTGGAGTTCCCGACACTCCTCACTACTGAAACATGTATTAAGCTTGGTAACATCCCATTCCTCCTCATGATCAAGCAGTTCATAAACATAAGAAAGTAATGAGTTAGTGACCGAGAGGGAGGTTACCTTAAAACCAGGAAGGGTGGGCACCCATTTATCTTGATAGATCAAAATGTCCTGGCCATTTCCAACATTCCATCTTACTCCGAGTTGGACAAGGTCCCTTCTTTGCAAAATACTCGTCCACACCCATGATGGATGACTAGCTTTCCTAACATCAAAAAAGGAAGAGTTTGGAAAGTATATGCTTTTAAGCACATGGACCCATAAGGCATTGGGGCTCTGTAGCATCCTCCAAGCTTGACGGGCTACCATGGCCAAATTAAAGT